ATGTCGGGGGTTTAAGTGGAGAGAAAATGTTTTGAGAATGATATGCAAATGCGCTTTACACAATTGATGTGTGTATGGATTGCGATAACAGTTGTATGAGCCCCCAATAAAATGTTTAAAATGATAAGAGCCCAAAACACAGGGAACCCATGATATATAAACCCCTCCAGGCTAACAATGAGAATAGAGAAACCAGGAGGATAAGGGAAAGGGTCAGGGAGAAAGAGGGAATCTTTCATGCGATCAACATGCGACATAGGACGATGTAAGATATGAAAATAATGGTCTTTAAATTATCGAGGGTTTGGGAGGGGGTGCAAGCAGGGGAGGGAGGGGGGGAAATGAGGAGCTGATTTCAAGGGCTCGAGTAGAGAGGAAATACTTTGAAAATGATGATGGCAGCATATGTGCAAATGTGCTTTACACAGGCGATGAATGTATGGATTGTGATAAGAGATGTAAGAGCCCCCAATAAAAGTATTTAATTTAAAAATAAATAAGTAAATAAATAAAAACCGTATCTTCAAACACGTAGCCATCTAAGTGAGGCATCACCACAAACTGTGTAATTCAAGGATTGTAATAATATAATCCAAACTCAATGGAGAGAATGGTATCCGAGCTTAAATTGTGAGCATCTGGTTTGCACAAGGTTATGGATGACACTGGTAGCCCAAGATCCATTTGGAGGATCCACACATAGATGAACATCTGGTGATTTCCAGTTTACCAGAAGTGATGGAGGTGAATAGCCTTGTTATCAGATGGTATTATATAGACAATTATAGTAGATATAGCTGGATTAAAATGTAATAGCTGATTTTATTGCCCTCTGAGCTCATTTGAAAGTTCTCTCAGTTTAATTTTAAAAAGTGTAAGGGAAATACATGGATTAAACCTCAGGTTAAGAGTGTGCGAACATACTCTTTTTTTTTTTAATAATTTATTGGGAGCTCTTACATGTATTTTAATAATATAATTCAATTACATAAAGCATAATTGTACAATTGTTGCCACCATCATTTTCTACACAGTTTCTTGCTTCTTGAGCTCCTTGATATCAGTTCCTCTTTATTACCCCCCCCCCCCACCC